TCCCTGGTTAGAGTCCCCTTCCTTCTCCCTAATTGCCTCCCTGGGGCCCACACTTAGCGCCCAGCCTCAGTCTCTTAGGAACTCCAGGCCTGGCCCAGAGGTTAGCCCTTTGTTAACCACCTGCCGCCAGGCTCTGTGTTGGGTGTGCAAGCTGGTCCCTGGTGCCTTGTGTGGTTCCGGAATGTCCTCAGTTGGTTGGGTTCAGAGGCTGGGCTGTAAAACCCAGTGAATGTAGGTCGGGCCTTGGTGAGGCTATTTTAGTGCCCTATCATTTATAAATTGGTTTCTGCGGGCAGCGTAGTGTGACAGCAGAGGGTCGGACTGGTGGGGTTCAACTCCCAGCTTTACGGTCTGTGTGACCTTGGGCAAGTCTCTTTCCCACCCTGAGCCTCACTTTCTTCACCCATAAACTGGAGTTCAAAGCAGTCGTCACCTCGTCGGGCCATTGTGAGGATGAAAGCGAGCCACATGAAGCGCCCAGCACAATCTCTGGCAAGTAGTAACTACAAAAGCATTAGCTTTTGTTCCTGTTCCGTACCGGAGACTATGTTCTAAAGTGCCTGTCTTGTCCCTCAGAGGGAGAGCGGGAGGCTGGGTGCTGCTTGCAGGTGATGTTGGTGTGTACTTGCTCACTTGCATGGCTCTGTCCCTCCAGACGGGGCACTGAGGGCAGGGATGCATGGGTTTCATTCATCCTGTTCCCGTGTCCAGCGCAGGGCCTGCCTGGAGTGGGGATTCCACGCACTGCAGTGGGCTTGGCTCAGGACAGAATCTCTTGAGTAGAAGTGGCCACTTGGGAGCCCCTCGGAGGACAGCCCCTCAGGTCTTCTGACCCATGGGCCATTCTGGGGTGGGGCATGCTACCCCCTTTCGGGTTGTCTGTGCCAGTCAGGCCCAGGTTTGTGTCCTGGTGTTTCAGCCTGACCCTGCCCAACCATCACTGTCCCCGCCGGCTCGCGTGGGGTCTGGGTTCTGAAACGCTTGTACGTGAAGCCTGCAAAGGCCTGGCCCCATCCCTGGTTGCTCTGATTCCATGAGCTCGGGACCCAGGAACTGCCCCTCTAGCGCCGGGCTTCAGTGACCCCCGTGTGAGGATGCTCGGCGGTGGGGAGCAGGATCGCAAAGTGGGCAGGACACTGGACTCCAGAGTCAGAGAGTCTGGGAGGACACAAAGCTCAGCTGGGCCCCCATCTGCCACGTGATGAGGGCAGGTACCTCCACCTTCCTGAGCCCCGGAGATCCTGCTTATAAAACAGGGATGTTGAAGTCCCGCTCTCCACCTCACAGAGTGGTGGTGGTTGCAGGGGGTAGCTCTGGTCTCAAGTCAGAGCTGAATTTTAATCAGGGCTTAGCCACTTACTTGTGTGGCCTTAGGCAAGTCACTGAACCCCTGAGTCTCAGTTTCTTTATTTGTTAAATGGGGATAACAATATCTTGGGGAGGGGGGTTGTTACAGAGATTAGATAAGAGACAGTGGGAACGGTGTGATAGAAACTATAAGGTGCTGTTACCCCCTCTGTCACAGTCTGGCCGGGGGGTGGGGGGAGCTGCTGCCTACGTTCCTGTGGTACTCCTGGCCTTCTTCCCTCAAATGCCAGAAGTCAGTTCCAGCTTTAGGTATTAAGGTCCTCAGGAGAACCAGAGCCTGTCCCCCGGGCTAGTGGGATCGTGTGGCAGGAGCTGTTTCTCACCGGGCCCCGGGTTCTGCATCTGTAAGACAAACAGCAGGGCTTGGGGCTTCAACATCCTGGGATTCCTGGGAGGGTCTGATCTGGGTGAGTGGTCTTCTGACCCAGGGCGGCAGAGGTGGTGCCCCCGTGTTAGAGATGAGATTTGGGGCTCAGAGAGAATCAGTAACTCCCTTGCTCAAGGTCACACAGCTAGTCGGAAGCAGAGCTGGGATTCAAACCTAGGTCTTGAAGGAAACTTGAGCCTAATCATGTTCTATGGCCTCGTGATTTTCCTGTCGCCCAGGGAAACAGCCTTTTACTTTTTCTTTTCTTTCCTGTTTTAACAAGAACAACAACACTAAAAGCCGAGAATGAAAAATAAGATCGTGAAGAGGTCAAAAGCCAGCCCCTGGAGCTAGCTGAGGTTTCAGGAAACGTATCACCTGTCACACGTGAAAACAAACACAGCCACCTGTGGCCAGCCTCTTTTTATGGATGACCGGGACAAAGTCCAGAGACCTGGCGAGCTGAGTGGCTAAGGACCAGCTTGCAGGTGCAGAGCCCCCAGATAGGCGGGCTTCCAGAGCAGAACATCCAGGCCAGGCTTTCTCATTCCACTTTCTGCCCGAGCAGGCCAGCTGAGCCCACGCGGTGAGATCAGTCGTCAACTCACCAAACTGGCTGGACCTCCAGGCCTCAGGCAGGCCCCTGAGACACAGCTAGGGGCTCAGAGACAGAGGCTCCGCCCATGTGCAGGGCACAGGCCCTGCTCCTTAGGCCGCCCAGCCCCACCCTGCTTAATCCCTACCCTCTGGCCCAGCCCTGCCCTGCTTAACCCCCACCCTCTTGCCGGGGAGTGTCAGTCCTCACCCTCTGGCATGGAGGCCTCCAGGCCAGGCATATACATTTGGAGACTGAATCAAGCCCCCCCTCACCCCCCTGAGGGCTTTGGACTGTTGGTCAGAAAGGCAACAACTTCTGGATAGTAATTGTCATTATTGCAATTGGTAGCAATTATTTGACATTTCCTGGGTGCCAGGCACTTTGCAGAGACAAGCTCACATAAGCCTTGCCATAATCCCTTAGTAAGTCCATTTTACAGGTGGGGAAGCTGAGGCACCATGATGAAGTGATTGCTCAAGGCCACACAGCTGGTAAAGATGTGGCAGATTTGGCATCTTCAGGCAGGGAGAATGGGAGGAGTGGCCAGAGTGCCCAGCGTGGATTGAGCCCTACTATGCCCTAGCCTGATCGTGGTTCCTCTTCATACCTGTACAGGGTGGGTGGGTTAGTATCCCCATCTGCTGAGAAAGAGGCAGCTCCGCAATGCCTCTCAAGGTTATGCGGCCGCTCTGGCAGCTCCGGGGGTGGGGAGCAAAGGTTGCTGTGTGACCCTCTGTCTGTGCAGGAGGAAGGCCCGCTGAGCCAGGGCAGGGCGGCAGGTGCACTGGGGATGGCCAAGTCCTCCGCGGTGTGCTTGGCCCTGATCTTGCTGTGTGACTTGCAGGCTCTTGTTCTCGCCATCCCCTCTGAGAGATGCAGTGATCTCGAAGGTCTTCTGCAGAGTGGATATTGCTCCTGGAGTAAATAACTCCGGAGGCCGTGAGCCTCCAGGAAGTTGAGGAAGGAGCAGAGGTGCAGGGAGCTTCATGTGAGATTCTCTCCAGCCAGGCTCTGCTGCCCCAGGGACCCCAGGCCCGCCTGCCTCCCCCTCGGAGCAGAGGGGCCAGGCCATGCTAGCGGCCGGGCCTATGGCCTATGGCAGTGGGTCTCAACACGTTAGAATCTTCTGGAAAACTTAAAAACTTAAAAAGATTCTAATGCCAATTTAATCAGGATCTCTCGGAGGGGGCCCGGGGCAGGGGCAAGTTGTATAACTCCCAGGGTAACTCTGACCTATAGCCGAGATTGGGGACCACTACTCAAAGGCAAATGGGGGAAGGAGGAACCTCTTGGCTTTCCAGGGTTGGTGACCCCCTGAAACCCAACGGACGCATGTGCCTGCCTCTCTGCATCTGGGGAGAGGGTCCGCAGCTCCCACCAGCTTTTCTGACCCAGAGGAGATCAAAATCCATTCTTGGGAGTAAGCAACCACCCCTTCCCATAAACCAACAATGTCATTTTTAAGGACTGGAAACCTCCAGTTGCAGGATCAAAGAAATCTTTCCTGACCTCCCCAGACACCTCCTTGCGGTTCCTTCTTTCTGCAAAAACATATCGTGTGCTTAGCACGTGCTTGGCACTGCTCTAGGCTCTGGGATCCAGGGCAAATGAGACAGACATGGCCCTCCCCTGAAGGAGTCAAGTTCTCATGGGGCTCTAGATGCACTCGTGAACCAATGAGCTATCTGCAGTGAGTGGGCCATGTGACAGGCGCCCCCACCTCCCGGCCTCCCCATGTCAAAGGTGCTGTTCCTTACAGTTGGCAGAGGAACCCCCCCCCTCCCCAGGATTCTGATGACTTGGTCGGGGCAGGGACAGAGGGCTGGGTGTTGGCAGGCTTCGATTCTACTGTGCAGTTGGAGGCGAGGCCTGCTGTGTAGATTCCGCATTTGGGGAAGGCCTCTGGGAGGAGGGAACTTGGCCTATGGGAAGGGCCTTAGGAGCCAGCAGAGGGCTTTGAGGGGACCGCCAGGGCAGAGGCGCTGAGCTGGGCAAGGGCCTAGGGTACTGGAACCACAGAAAAGAGTGGCCTTAGGAATGAGTGTGTGTATGAGGAGGGTGGGAGTGCTGAGGACAGAGGAGGGGCAGGGCAATCCAGGCAGGGCTCCGTCGGTTCCATAGGAGCCTGGATTTTATAGGAAACCTGTTGGCTACATCATGGTTACATGGTTGTAGGCAGGGGAGTGACAAGGTCTGGCTTACAGTTTTCAAACCCCTTCCTGCAGTGTGGATAAGGGACTGGGGAGGACGGGAGTGGAACTCGTGACCAGTAGGGAGCTGCCCTGGGCCAGGCGGGAGGTGAGATTTGGCTGGGCGAGGTGCCGGACTGGAGGAGACACTTTTGGGCTGTGGGATGAGAGGGAGGAGGGAGAGCGTGGCTCCTAGGTGTTTGGTCTGGGCCATCCCCCACCCCTCCCCCGCCAGGAACCCTGCAGCACTTAGAATGCTTAGCACCAGCCCCCCAGGTACCCTCGAGAGCCTCTGGTCTGGCGTTTCCTAAGAGGAGCTCCATGTGATGTTGAGGGCTGTTAAGTGAAAAATGGCTTCAGCTCAGCAGTGCTGCTGCTGGGCATCTTGGAGAGGTGAATGGCCTGACGTGTGGGTGGCTCTTGGCGAGAAGTGGCACTCCACAGACCGGGTGACAGCAAAACCTTCTGTTCTCAACAGGGCATCTTCTAGGATTCCTAATCTGAGGAGCCACTCCCGAAAACGCTGCTCTGGTCCCAGCCTGTCATTGGACAGGTGAGGTGGCAGGCCCAGGGAGGGCGGTCACCGGGCCAGGTCTCGTCCCTCGTGTTCTGCCAGAGCAGGGACTGAGCCTGCACCTCCCTACCCAGGGCCTGCAGGTACCTTGCCATCACCTAACTCCCTTCTCCCAGGCTGTCTGGAGACGTGCAGGTTCCAGGATCAGGCTGGAGGGCTCCTACCCCATCCTCAGGGGAGGAACAAACCAATCCTCCTAGCCTACAGGTGCAAATTCACAGGTGCCCAGCACAGACAAGGGGTTCTCTTGAAGGCACTGGCTCTTCCCCAGTCCCGCATCCTGTACTCAGGGGCTTCTGGGAAGGTAAAGGAGCCTTGGCAGCAGGTCCTGGCAGTCAGAGCTGGCTCAGGGTGCTCACCCCACAACCCCCCCACCCCACCCCTTGGGTGAGGACAGAAGAGGCCTGAAAATAGTTTCAGCTGACTCAGGGGCAGTGGGTATCAGGCCCCTTTCAGGTGGCTGAGTGTATGAAAGTCCTGGTGTTTTATGTGGAAGTCCCTCCTCCCTTCACCCCTCCATCCCTGCATCTCTCCATCTCTCCATTCTCCTGTCCACCCATCCCTCCATCCAGCCATCGTTCCACCCTTCCATTCCTCTGTCTCTCCATTCTCCATCCATTCATTCCTCCATCCCTCCATCCATCTGCCCATCATCCCTCCATCCAGCCATCGCTCCACCCTTCCATTCCTCTATCTCTTCATTCACCATCCATTCATTCCTCCATCCCTCCATCCGTCTATCATACCTCCATCCAGCCATCGTTCCACCCCTCCATTCCTGTATCTCTTCATTCTCCATCCATTCATTCCTCCATCCCTCCATCCATCTGCCCATCATCCCTCCATCCAGCCATCGCTCCATCCATCACTCCATCCAGCCACCATCCCATCTTTCATTAGGCAACATTTGCTGGGAGCCTTCTTTGTTCTTGTAAAGAATACATAGTCTTTCCTGTCAAGGTATCACGTTTCACCGGGGAGAATGGGACAGTTAAGTAGAGAATTACTGTATAGCATCGGGGATTAGAATAGTAACCTCCATTTATTGAAAGGCTACCACATGCCAGGCATTTTATCCACATTATCTAATTTAACCTCTGGACAAATCTTCCAAATAGGTTTTATTTTCCTCCTCTCACAAATGAGTAAGGTGAGGCTCAGAGAGGTTAAGTCATTTGCCCGAGGTCACACAGCTAGGAGGTGAGAGAATTACATTCATATCCAGGCAGTCTAATGCCTGAGTCTGTTCTGGGAACTGATCCAGTATCCCAAAGCTATTGGAAGGAAGCAGAGAGGGAGCATGGCTAACCAAAGCGTGTTGGCAGGACCAGCCAGGGTGACGATGGTGGTAGAGACAAGACTGGCTGGAGTAGGAGGCTTCCTGGAGGTGATCTCTGAAGTCAGTCTTGAGGGATGAGTGGGAGTTAGTAAAATATCAGCGCAGTAATTTCATTGTATGAATTGATTTGGCGTAAAATTATATATTTGGTCAATTTAAATTGTAGCTGCTTAGAAATGGTCAATTTATTGGCTATAAAGTATAACATAAAATCAGAACCTCCTTCCTCTTGCTCAGACAGGTAACCAGTGGCTGCTCTGGAATTTTCTAATCAGATGTGCATGTGTGTCATTCCCTTGTGTTGTTGGCGGTCTGTATAGCTTGCAGGGAAGCAGGGGCAGACCCTCCAGTGTTTACAGAAAGTGTATACCTGGAAGCATAACACCGGGGGACATTCCCTTTGTTTAATTTCATCTGCGGATGAAACCCTCACCCCTTACTTGTTCCACAAGTGCTGAGAAAGGCCTGCCCCAGCTCTGGCCACTGTGCCCCGACCGTACCGGCCACCGACCTCACTCTGTTTGTAGCGGCGGGTTCAGTTAGGACCCTCACTCTACAGGTGAAGAGATCGGGGACCTGCAAGGCCCTTCCCTGGGGCCATGTGCTGGCAGGGCCAGTATTTGACCCCTTCTCCGGGGGTCCTTTGTCTTCTGTCTCCCGACTGCAGTTCCTTACATTCAGTTCTTGCCACCAGTTTGCTCGCCCCCCGAGATCTCAAACTAACGGTGGTCCTGACCCTTGCTGCTTCTTACAGACACATGGGTGTACGTCATTGGATCCCCTGCACTGGGGGCTGGCAAACTTGTTCCAGAATGGGCCAGGGAGTAGATGTTCTAGGCTTTGTGGGCCCAGTGGCCTCTGTCGTAACGTCCACTCTACTGCCTTAATGTGGGAGCAGCCGGGGGACAAGACATAAGCCAGGGGGTGTGGCAACTTAAATTAGGGCCATGAAAGTGTGACTTTCCTGGGCTACAAAACCTTCTTTTTATTTTTTTCCAACTATTTAAAAATGTGAAATCTGTTCTTGGCTCACAAGTTGTACAAAAAACGGGTGGTGGGTTGGATTTGATTTACAGATCCAGTTGGCCACCTCCTGCCCTATACCAGCCCTTATTCCCATCTCATAGATGAGAAGACTGAGGCTCAGATCCTCCCAGGCCCTCTGAATCCAACTTTGGTGGGGGGTTCCCTGAAGTTGATGCCACACCCCATCATGGTGTGACTTGGGCATGTTCTCAGCCTGAGCTGACCCCCTGGGCTTCTTGGAACTGCCCATCTTTTGCTCCATGTTGCTGTGAGAGGGAAACGTCTGTACTTGGAGGGAAGAGAGACTTTGCATCCTTGGGTGTTGGCCAGCATGCCCTGGAGCCACCACCCCAGGCTCTGGTGCTCAACACCTTCTCCTCCCCCAGGTGATTCCCAGGTAGCCTCTGGGCCTGCCTGGTTTGGCCAAACGGCCTGCCAGTCATGGGGCTGCCTGGCTCCTGTTCTAGCATCTGAGCTCACCCAGCTGCCTCTTGGAGAGGAGTGGGGGGGCCCGAGGGGCTACACGGCCTGGATTCTGTCCTTGCTGGCCCATGTACTAGTGATCTGGGGCAAGCTCCTTCACCCCTCTGTGCCTTAGTTTGCTCATAGGACACTGAAGGGCTTCGCCCAATGCCTGGTACAATTTGTGCGAGTGCCTGAGACCAGCGAGGTTGCTCAGAGTCTGGAGCATCAGGGAATACCAGCTCAGCAGCCTCTGCCTCCTCCTTGCCTACCTGGGAATCCCAGCCATCCCCACAGGTCCCTTCATACCCTTGAAGCCACCCTCTGGAAGGACACACTTCACAGTGGACAGATCTTGGGCTCTGGAGCCCACCCCTGCTTGCCGGCTGTGTGCCTTGGATGAGTTCCTTCACCTCTGTGAGCCTTAGCCCCCAGGGATGGGAATACCTCGCTCACCTCTTGGGCACAGGAGGATTGAAGGGGATGACACATGCTGGTGGCCTCCTGGAGTCACTGCCATTCGCTGGCAGCTGCTCCTCACTCAGCGGGCCCAGAAATCGCTCTCGTCCACAGACTGCCCGTTTCTGAGCACCCCCAAACCTGTGAGGCTGCCCTGGCGGGCCAGCCTGAGCAGAGGATGTGGGAGCGGAACATGTAGAAACTCCCTTCCGGTACTCTCTAGAAGCAGGCAACGGTTGCCAAAGACCGTTTGCGTACTTTTCCAATTGCACAAGAACCCGGCGCACGCCGCTCAGGCCCTCGGCTGCCGCTAAAGCGCAGTCAGTGAGGTTCTTCCAGTAAAGGGGTGACCTTTCTGTAGACTGCTTGGGGTTCAGCCTGGGTCACTTACTGGGAGGAGACCCAGCCGGGCAAGCAGGCCCAGGTAGGAATGAAAAACGTGCCACCGCCACGCGAGAATCTTTCCTCTGCTGCTCTTCTCTTCTGCGCAAGTTTGCGCAGAGCCTCTGGTCTGTCGAGCGCTGTGGGGAGGAGACCAGTAACGCTCCTTTATGTGGACCATCCGCTGCAGGGCTCCCTCAGGCCAGCCTGGATCCGGGATCGCAGATCTCTAGAACTCCTGACGCAGGGGAGCCCTTGTTTGCCCCACCCTGGGTCTGAGGTAGTTCCCAGGTAGACTTACCGAGGCCAGACTTCCCTGGCTCCTGAGTCCCTGTTGTCCCTGCATTTCTCAGACCCAAGCCTTGGACGCTGGTGGCGTCTAAACGCAGTCTAAACTCCCCATGTAGCAGTTGAATCCCCGAAAGTGTTTACTCACACCTGGCTTCCATGCCACTTGCGATGGGGTGCTCATTACCACCCAGACAGCCTTTTCCTTCTTTGGACAGCTTTGGCTTCATGTTGTGCCCCAATCTGACCCACAGCAAGGCAGCTGGAGAAAATTCTCTCGAATTGAGATGTCAGAACACCAAACTGGACCCCCTGGGAGGTAGTGAACCCTCCCCCTTAAGCCCCCTCCCCTCTCCTTGGAGGTATAGAAAGTCAAAGCTGAGCTCTCCCTGGCAAGGATGATCGAATGTGATTATTTCCAGAAAAGGCAGAGGGGACCTCCTTATGGATAGGGGATATTCACAAGGCTTAGGACTGCCTTTTACCCTTGGAGGAAGAGGAAGGGGTGAAGCCTACCCCTCAGCCCTCCTTCCCTCTGCTCTGTGGCCTGCTCCCCCTGTCCCCTCCCGCATAGGGCCTGTGGGAACAGGACTGGGCCCTATGCCTGCTTCCCTGCCCCCAAGCCCAGCTGTCCCATGCAGCTGTCCTGGCCCCAGCTGCCCGGCACTGGTCCTGTCACCCCTGAGGGCCTGAGAGCTGGTTGCTGTCATTCCTGGATTGTATGGCTTTGGGGAGGGGGTGAAGGCAGCAAGCTTCCCTCTTCCTCCCTGAGTCCTGCCCTGGCTTGGGGTCCATCAGTGTGGAGAGACACACCAGTGCGCTCCAGCATGGTTTGCTCTGTTTCAAAAGCATGAGTGTATCACCCAGAATGACAGTGAAAAATTGGCAACAGCCGTGTGTCTAATCATAGAGTATTGATTACATGCGTTGTGATATATCTGTATCTGGGACTTTAACCCTAGGATCCTTGGGGGCTCCTGAATGGGCTTAAAGGGGCCTCTGAACCCCCAGAAATTATATGTAAAATGCTGCCTATACATGAATTTTCTGGAGGAATCCGACCCTCCAAAATGTAAAATGATCTACAGTATGGAATCCCCTGCAACATGTCAAGTTATGTTGTAGAGCATTTTACCAGCATACACAGAGAGTATATTGTCGAATGAAAAAAAGCAGGTTACAAATCACTCTATATAGTAAGAGCCCAGTTTTGTTTAAAACCATCTGTGAAACACACATGCTGCAAGTTTAGCTACTAAAATGATGACAGTTTTTATCTCTGGGGTGAGAGAAAATTTTTTTTTAATTAGTGTTGTTCTGTTGAATGTTCTATTCGTTTGATGCTCGACAATGCATACTTGTTCCTTTGTGAGGCGATGGTGAAGGGAGCACTCGGTCCCTTTTCTGAGAGGCTAGAACTCTCTGTCTCCCCCAGCAGCCCCCTGGCCCCAGGGCTGCAGATCTGTGCCACAAGCCACTGTCTCACCTCTGGGGCTCCAGCAGTCACCTGCTAACGTCCTGGCCACCTGACTTTGACTAGCATCCATCTGGGTATTTCCAAAGCCCGTGAGGGTCTTATGTCATTTCTCTCCAGGCCCTGCCCGGTCGAGGGGCCAGTCCAGACTCCAGCTGCCAAACATCAAACAACCGAGATGGCCTGTAGGCCTACACTTCCTAGCTGTGTGGCTTTGGGCCAGTCATCTAACCTCTCTGGGCCTCAGGGTGCCATAAAATGGGACCTCGTGTTAGTACCTCCCCCGGGATTGCTGTGAGGATGTGCTGGGATGATTTGGGGCCAGCAGGTCACTGACTGCCTGTTAGCTTTGTTCCCCTTTCCTCTTGGCCTTGACCTACCTGCCTTCTCTCTTTCTGCCAGGGAGCTCCAGGACCGGCAGGATGGGGTCAGCCTGTATCAAAGTCACCAAATACTTTCTCTTCCTCTTCAACTTGCTCTTCTTTGTAAGTATGACCAGCACCAGCCAACCACCTCCCACGGAGACTCTTCCCTGGGGCAGCGCAGCTGAGACCCTCCAGAGACTCCAGGCCAGGGATGGGGTTGGGGGGCAGTCAGTGGGGGCTGAGGACGGACCATTGGGAATGGAACCGTGTGGGGCCAGCCAGGAGATTGCCTGCATTCCAGCTGGTTCTGTGGCGGAGCACTGATGCCTCTCCCAGCTGTCCCCTCTCCTGGGGCACTGAGGTCTGGGCCAGTCAGGGTTGGAGGTGGGCATGGGTGGGGAAGAGCCCCCAGGTGTCCCCTAACTCATCAGCAGGGAGTTCTCTGAAATCTTTCTTGCCATCTGCTGGCCCTCTGCCCTCCTGTGCCCCCTCTGAAGGTTTTGCTGTTACAGCTGCCACCCCCACCCACACCCCCACTGTGGGGGATGTACCCACACCCCCCAGAGGGTGTGCAAGAGAGGCAGGCTTGGGGCCAGAGTGGGGACACGGTCCCCCTTCTCCAGACCCACCCTGGCAGGCCCCACCTTGCGTCCTTGAGCCATGGGGCTGCCCAGATGTAAGCTCGGTGCACATCTGGAGCTGGTTTTCCTGGGGCCTCAATTTTCCTCTCGGGCCTGGCACTGACTGACTCCTCTTGCTTCGAGTTGCCAGGATGATGGTGTGTGTGTGTGTGTGTGTGTGTGTGCCTGCGTGTGTGTGGTTGTGTATGTGAGAGAGAGAGAGTGTGTGTGTATGAGTGTGTGTGTGTGATGGGGCAGGGGGGAGAATGTGATGCATGTGTGAGTGTGCATGTATGTGAATGTATGTGTGTGCATTAGTGTGTGTTATGGGG